TCAACAGATTACAAAATGCTAACTGACAAAAAACCCCCAGGTACACAGCAACAAAAAAAAAAAAAAGCTAAGTACCATATTTTACAGTGTATGGGTCAACACATCGTATAAGATGACCCCAGATTTCTGTTTAAAAAAAGGTAAGGATTTTTGTATGTCTGGTGTATAAGTTGACCCCACCACAGTGTGCAAGGCGTGGACACCTAGGTGGTTTTGTGGGAGGGGTGGTGTACTGGTGGGCTCACGGGATGTTGGATTGGTCCCTTGGGAGCTTGGGCAGCCCACAGTCTTCTGGCAGCCTGCCCAGCTGTTCCCCGGGAGTGCTGCCACCCAGAGGGAAGGACTGGGCCCCCACAGCTCAGGAGCTGCTTGGCCTGGTGGCAGCTCACTCCCTGGCCATGGAGCAAGTGGCAAGGCTCTGCTGAGAGCAGGATCAGGACCCTCACCACTTCTGCCTTCAGTGGTGGCCAGTAGGGCACCTGGTGCAGCCTGGGAAGGGGCTGGCTTGCCCCAGGGGCAGTGCGGGGTGTCAGGTAGGGGCAAGGGGGGAGGCTAGGAGTATCAGGCAGAGCCAGCCTTCCCCACCCATACCCACCACCCTGTGCTGCCCCTGGGGCAAGCCAGCCCCTTCCCAGGCAGTACCAGGTGTCTTGCCAGCTGCCGCTAAAGGGAGAAGTGGTGAGGAGCGCAGTCCTGCTTTCAGAGGAGCCTTCCTGCCTGCCCTGTGGCTGGGGAGTGAGATAACGCCAGGCTGGGCAGCCCCTGAGCTGCGGGGGACCCAGGTCCTTACTTCCGTGGCAACAGCACACCCTGGGGCTGGGTAAGCAGGGTGCCAGTGAGCCGGGTGCTGGTTGAGCTTCCAGGAGCTCAGTTCAACTTCCTGGGAGACCACTAGCGCGACGCCTCTACTACGAGCCCACCTGGGCTTTCAGTGCCTTGTGCACTGAGATAGGGGACGTTATATAAATCGAGGTTGAATTTTAAGAGTTAAAAATTGCCTTCAAAACTCAACTTTTACACTGTGAAATACGGTAGTTCATTCTGTTTCCTTCTCTGAATTACTAATATTCATGCAAAACAGGAACTCTCCTCAAAATGTACTGGTTTTGAAATTTTAGTGTGAATTGGCTCAGTGTGAAGAAAACAGTTAGCTATACAAACAAGTGCCTTTTCAGAGAGCTTTTCTACAGAAGGTTGTCAAGATATTGCTTTAGTGTGGTAAATTTAAGTTAGACTGAATTTTACACTGCCTGATAAGTGTGCTGTCTCTCACTTGTTTTTCTCTTTCGCAGTTAACAAATACAGTTTTCAATCATATTTAATTTCTAAAGAAATTATATTTACTTGAAACTCTTTGTAGGAGTAACTCTGCTGTCCAATTTAGGCATTACAGTATACAGTTGTATGTATTAACTTCCTCTCTGTGTAATGCATTTAAACATTTTGATTTAAAGATCTTACTGGTTAAAGAGTATTCTTCATTGCACATATGTCAACTATCTCAGACTAGTTCAGGCTTTGAAACCAATAGAACCATTTTAAGTTCAACACTTTTGATTAATCTACTGTATTTTCTGTATACATTAATCTCGCTGTAATGGCATTTTCTATTTAAGCATCTTTTTGATGATCTTATCAGGGTTTAAAGTTCAGTAGATTAATCTCTGGTTTATCATGGGGGGAAAACCCATAATGTTTCGCTGTAGCGAATACAGCACAATTTGAAGTAATATGGTTGTCAGCTTTCGCTGCTGTATTGTTTACCAGTTTGTCAGTAAAAGAAGAAAAATTGAATATGAAAGACTGTGTTAAGAGAACGTTGAGGATCTGTAGCTAAGAACACAAAGGTCTGGAGATGTCAGTTACTGTTTTATATACTTTATCTTTTCAATGAACTGTTCACTCATTAAGATGTGCTCTTTAATAGCTCTACTATATGAAGATTCTTATTTGCTTGTATTACTGTAGTGCTGACAGGCCCCATGGTGGTAGTTATTATCCAGCTAAACCGTAAGAGACAATCCACTAGTATGAAGATTAATTCTGCAGATGGAAACAGGAGGTTTAATGCAGCTGGCCTAGATCACAGATCTAATATTAAATTTATCCAATCCAAAATGACTTAGAATTTAAGATGACCCCTCAATAATTAGAATCTGTGCATGGAAATTATACATTATTATTGGAAGATTGTCTTAAATTTGTGCTCACAACATTGACAAGGAAAGCAGTGGCAGGGAACAATAAGCTAAACCCCTACCCCTTGCCCTTCCCTGTGCCTGCCCCCACCCTCCTGCTGCCTATCCCCTCTCTACCACTTTCCCCCTGGCCCCCTGTGCCTGCCCCCTTCTGCCTGTGCCCAGCGCCACTTGCCCCCCTGTTGCTCCCTCCCTGCCTCCTGTTCTCCCCACTACAGACCTTTGGGGTGGCTCTGGCTCCAGCTTTGGGGGAAGACTGATCCAGTCTGGCGAGGCAGAAACAGTGACATCAGCTCTGGGCCTGGCTGGGTTGAGGCTGGAGCTGGGGGGTGGGGGAGAAGGGCAGGCAGCATGGACTTGCCTGCTCCCCCTGTCCCAATTGTGGGTCTCCCCTGTGCACCTTCTGCCTTGTTCCCCCTCCCCCACTCCAGCAGCCAGCTTGGCCTCGTCTTGGATTCAAGTCCATACAGTAAGTGTTGATCCTGGGTCTTTTGGTTTGCAAGCACTACACGGGAAGTCACTTAAACGCATTTTCATTTTTTTCTGTTTGCAAAATAAGGCTAATAAAACGTTGTACTTTATAGTACTTTTTTGCCTGTGGATATTGGAATAATGTAGCTAGCTCTACATTGTACAGAACAAGAGACAGAATTCCACATCTTGCAAGAAATGCAACTTGAAATTAAAAAAGTCTAGTGATTAAGGCAATATAAAAAAAAAAAATAACCTTCCACATCTAAATTGATAATTTATTGTCTTTCTGAATGTGCAAACATGCATTTTCAAAAAATAGTTCTAAAACAGGTGCATACTGCTCCCTTTCTTCTAAATCTTAATGGAGTATTAATACAGATGCCAAATGTCTACAGACATTTGGGGGCCTTCAAGCGGAGGCTGGACAGATATTTGGCTGGGGTGATATGATCCTGGCACCCATTCCTACCCGGGGCAAGGAGTCGGACCTGATGATCTGTTTAGGTCCCTTCTGACCCTAAGTACTATGATACTTTTATGACAAAATATATATAATTAGTATTTTTCATCTCAGTGTTTTAGTGATAATGCATAGTGCCTTACTGTAGTAGAGGATATAATGATGGGCATTCCAATAATGGGATATTAAGGGATTGAAAAATAAGTTTCTTCAGGCACCAGTGCTGATTTTACAGCCCTGTAATGCACTGTGTACAACTTACTAAAATGAGAAACTTCTAGCAGTGTAAAGTTCAAAGGAATTTTTAAATATAGCACTGCATTGTTGTTTATATAGCAAAACTATACCAGCATTACAAAGGACTGAAAGGCTAATCAGATGTAACGTATTGATGACAGATCACGAAAGATGGTTTGTCTAGAATTAAGGAAATAGTTGCTAGTAAAGATAATGCCTTGTGTGAAATAAATGTAATGAATTTCTATTTGAAAAAGAGATTATACTTATTAATGTAAAATTAACGTAGCAGAAATCCTCTGAACTGTAAGCTTGAAGTTCCAGGTGCAGTGCAAAATTCCAGCTATCCAACAAAACATGCTGAGTTAAAAGCTGTGTGCAGAGCTTACTGTGCATGTTCTGCTTTCCAGCAGCCTTAGGCTGAGTTTTGACATGGGTGTTAAACATATCACATTGTGTCGTTTATATAAGAAGAAAAATGCCATCAAATTTCATTATTGTTTTTACAATAACATTTCCCCTGTACCCTTTAGAGTACATTTAAAAGGCAATCACTATTGTGACTGAAGTGTAGGTAGACCCCAGATAACTTGGATACTGGTAGTAGTCTAGGCAGAGTGTCATGAAGCTCACAGTGGGCTTAGTTTCTTGAATGCATATAGTAATATGCCTCTGTGCACCCCGTGAAGACGAGGGTTTGTGAAGTAACTGGGAATGCGTAGAGCTACAGCAAAGCTAGGGACAGAAATTACACTTAAACCAGTATAAGTGATCGGAAAGTGATTCAAATCTGTACCAACCAAAGTTCAGTGCACATAAACCAGTTTTGGCCATTTTGAAAGTGGTTTAAGGTAAACCTGGATGGATGTAGCATCAGATTTTAATCTATTTAAGTAAAATTGGTTTATTGAACCTCTGTCCCAGATCCCCTCCAGATTCAAGTTAACTCACAGTCCCCCAGTATCCCAGGATGCTTTGCACCTCCCCCGCACATCCCTACCTTACAATGTGGGCTGGCTATCCTTGGCCCAAGCTGTCTGCTCCAGCCAAGCAGGGAGGTATGCTCTAGTGCTCCCAGATTTCTGGCTTGGATCACTGTGGACATGTGACTGCATTTCCAGAATCAAAAGTAAATGTCTGTTCACTTCCTTGTTAGTTCAGTCTACAAAGTGTAGCCTAACCTGTGAAGATTGAATTGCTTCAGCCTTGGGCTTTCTAACTGTCTGTACTTAATCCAAATAAGACTACTGAAGTGCTCTAGCTGTTTGTTGTGATTTATTTCAGAGGGCTTTGGGGTAAACTGTACCATGTTTCCAGAGTGGATTTAGCAGTCCGTTTTGAGTTCCATGTTGGCATGACCATGCTGGTTAAAAGCTAGGCTTTTAATGTAGTGCCTGACTTTCCATACTGTATTATGCAGCTTTTATTGTTACTGTGACCCGTTATCTTTTTTAAAACATCAGTCAGTGGAAAACATGCATTGAAGCATTAGGAAGCAATATTGATCTTAATATATACCTGATGACCAATACGGTAGTATCCTTCAACCAAAAGGCTTCATTAAAGAATATATTCCAGTGTGGTGTTTACATCTTAAGATAATTTCTTATGGTTTTTATATTTTGTTCCAGGAAAAGAAACGATTAACAATTTGCAATATTGCTCGTCAGTGGGAGAGACAGCAAAATCGAGTTGCCCTTTTGTCTGCTTCAGAACAAGATAAAAAAGATGATGAAGCGTCTCAGATCAGTGGTAGTACAGCCTATGTTTTTCCTGAAGAAAGCAGGTATATAAGTGTTTTATTGGAAATATTTCTTCTAGCTCAAACAGGAAAAGCTATTTTTTCTTCATTACCTCTCCCTTCTGTTCTGGCAGGTATTTTCTTTAAGTTGTTCCAATCTGAAATATTAAAAGTGCTTTCTAACTCCTTGATCTACAGTGGTTGCTAGATAGCTGTTTTGCAGTTTTACCTCACTTCATGTGCTTTGTTTGTGGGGCTGGTGAGGGGGATGTTTGTTGCTACTAAACTTTGTTTCATTGAATTATTGCGGTCATGATAAAAATGCTGCCTTAAGGCATTACATGACTGAGAGGTCACTCTCTTTGTGATATAAAATGATGGAGTTCTTGGTTGAAAATTTTGCCTTTCCAACAGTTGCTGTCACATGGAAGAATCAAATCATCTTTCCCCTGCTTCTTGAATGAGATCAATCTCTTTCTTCTAAGTACTGCAGTTTGCATTTAAAAAATGTTCTTCTATTTAAAATAGAATATTTATATTAGAAAGGTTAAAGTAATACAGGAAACTGGTGCAAGATTTTCCAGACTGTAATAACTGTATTTTTACATTTTTTAGAATGACTATTTCTACCTAAATAGAAATGAAATGATGAAACTGATATACAGGATCCAAGTACCTTCAGTCTGCTTCTTGTGTTTAGACTTTTGTCTAGTCTACCACTTGTTGGCTGTTATTTATGATGTAGGTACTTGTCCACCCAACACTGGGCTGAGACCAGCAGCTAACTTTACTCCTAAGGAAAAATAACTGTCCAAGAGCTTTTTTTTTTTTGTAAATGGAAAGGATTCATCTCTTACTTTTAAAAAGTTGGTATTGAACTC